CCAGCGGGACTCGAACCATGACAGCACAGCATATTATCTCGACACGCCAACCACTACGCCAGAGTGCTTTGAGAGCCCTTGGGTCATAGGGTGGACGCGAATTTAAGGGAGGGCCAAACATTTTCGCATATCACATTTTATGGTGGTAGTGTCCATTATGCCAATTTTTATTTGCTATAGCAATCGACAACATTACCTATTTTTTGTTTTATATTTAGGCTTTCGAGAGCATCAATAGATCATATATAACCTGTATTCACAATGTTTCGTTTAAAGTGGCAATGGAAGTGGTAAATGAGTCTTCACACAATGCTGTGAATATACCTTACGTCACGCATTCGTGACAATGTGGTGTACCGGTTAGCGTGTAGAGAGTATGCACTTCACTGCCAATAACCGGGTTCGAGTCCAGCTGAAAGTGTTGATGAGACCAGCCCTGGCGAGGTCGAAACTACATTCCACCCCTGCCTAGATGAGAATGCCCTTTGGGAAAGCAAGGCTATGTGAAACTCAATGGATGCGTAAATTCTACTTTTATGATAGTAGAAAAATTCAATTGCCTAGCCCCTTATCATCCTAGACAAAATAGATTGAATACATCAAATATATATATATATATATACTCATGTAATTTTGGGTAAATTCCATTATCATTCGCCCATCATTTTGTGCAGCCTGAAATGACTGAAACTCTTATTTATATTTTCGTTTGTAGGTGGGCCTTCGAGTCTACCAGCAGATCTTATTTATGCCGGAATATGCTTCGAAATTTCATTTTCAATGTATGACTGATAGCAGAGCTATTCACACAATAATCTCATGTGAATCACAGCTAGCCTTGTTTTCGCCCCGAGGATGGAGTGAAACCTCGAATTCGCTTCATCGTCGTCCCAGCCACCCGCCATGCATTTCAGTAAATCCCAGGGAAGATGTTAATTTTTCGCAAACTTCTAAGAAATATCACACTAACTGTAAGTATTGATATCGATTTTATTTGTACATTTTTGTAGCTTGGTAACCTAATTCCCATCAGTATGCTTAGACATATCGCATTCGTCAGTGAAGCTGGGATTCTCATCAGCTTCTATGAAACCAGACGGAAAGATGCCAATGCGATGACGCTGGCACGCAGGCGTCTGGTCGGTCGACTCAAAGGTCCTTGGTTCGAGTCCCGTTGGTCGAATTACTACGAAGTACCGGCCTAACTGCCTCGTGGCTGATGGTCTTGAAAGGATCCGGTTCCGAATTTTTCGGTACAGTTGTCCTCTCCAGATCTTGTTTTGCCGATCAAAAGCGCTCCAGATCGTTGATCAGGCCTGTCGATCGTGAAAACAGTCTGTCTGTTGGGTGGAAAATGAGTGTGCCATGTCTGTGCCCGTGGCAACCGTGAATTTTGTATCCTCCCTGCGCTAAGAGTCGCTCACATGTCGTGTCCTTCCTACAGGGACGTGACAAGAGCCCCGGAGAGCTGATAGCAAACGGGTCGCAAGTTGCTCAGCAAACGCGGCACTGGCTGTATGAGATGACCACCGGTCCGCCCACCCTCGGGAGCACCATTTGCAGGAGCAATAAAATTTGGGTCAAAAGGGGTTCGCACTGGCAGAGGACTGAGAGCCACCAGAAGTCGGTCTCTTGCCCTATAGCATATAGCATAAGCAAACGGATTTTAGACAAACACAATAAAATGCTGACATTCGTGCTGCTGAAATTTGGTGGCGAAACGGTACATATTAAGCCAGCCTTGCTCAGGATAGAAGGGAAAATTGTAGCTGGTCGCAAATTCTCGGCTTTTTATCATCTGTCATCACCCCACTGTCATTGCCTCCAATCCATAGTACGCTTTTATTATCTCCGTTTGTGGAATCTTGGTCCAACTTTTCGGATACAACATATTCACAAACAGCCCTCGACATGTTGTGTCTTTTAATGATAGGTCATGTCAAGGCAAAACTGCGAAAGAGAACGGAAATTGAGTTGTGCGCAGACCGGCGGCAAAAGAGTCCAGCCCCAAAGTTGGCCTTAAAGAAAATGCCAGCTTGGACACAATCTCAGTATATTCAATGTGATCACACTTATTAAAATTTTAGTAATACTGATAGCATTAGTATATTAATAATAATAATCTTACTAATAAATACTACTATTACCAATAATAATAATAATAGTAAGAATAGGGATTATTAAATATTATTCTCTAGCAGGAACTAAGTCACTCTGAGTTGTTTATGGTGGTGTGTGTCATGATGTTTATCATCACCTTCAAAATCACATTTATATTGGAATTATCGATGAGACAAACACGTATCTACCATTAGCAGATACGAAGCGAAAAAATCATCTGCATTCAATAAGATGCCTGACTCTTTGTCACTTTAAGATGAAGCGGTTGCAACTAGCCAATCATTCATCTCTACAAGATACCGAAATCATCTCCAAAGGTTCGTACATGTGTGTATTAGTTAAACATCTTCGTGAGACTGAATGACGTAGAGATAGACCTGTTGTGACCTTTTTCTTGAGGGTCAACGAGTTTGCCTGAAAGCCCTCAATTTCATGTTTCGTGTACCCTCATGATACCGAGGAGCAGAGGAGGAGATATCGAACGAACACTATGGTTCAGATGAGGTCGGCTTTCAGACTCAATAAAGAAATAAGCTAGCTATTTCCTCCATGTAACCATAAGCAGATGAGTAACACTTACATTGTCGAAAATAGCGAATATTCAGGAACATGCTTGATTATTAGATGAACCCATTAGATGAAGTGATTTGGAAAAAGGCTGTCTTGACTCCTTGGCAGCTTTAGCTGCTTATTTGTAAGATAAAGTGTCGTCACGATGCGCACGACCATGTTTTAGATCCATTTGGGTGAGCTGAAGAAACAATGAGCCAAGGTTGAAACTGCGATATAGTCAGACCGGCATGAAAATACTTTTTAGGAGTCAAAACCGAGGCATCGTTAAATTACTTATATGATTTTAGAAATACACTTCGTTTTCAAACTAAAAATCACCTTAAGCGAACTGGTCGGAACAAATTCTCATGCAAGAATTACTCATTTACTCGGAAACTGCTTACATCGAAAGAATGTGAAAGGTATTGGCGTGAAAAATTAAAGATATGAAAACAAGATGTTGTGGCCTCTGGTATGGTCGCAGTCTCCTTTCGGTTTATAGAAGTGGGTTGACCTCGTCGCAAATTGGTTTTGTTGTCAGGGCGACTTAGTAGGACGCCCATAGTCCGAAGTCGTCTGTCATAGTACTTGTCATGATTCCCAGCATCTGAAAGTGGACTTGATACATTCTCAAATGTTTCCCTGGCATCAGAGTCGACATCATCAGTGAACTTTGCCATTCATCGCACCAAGCTACGAACTCGTCAAAGAGACAATTGAAGCCAATCTCTCGACAACACGATCTGCCGAAAACGGTTAGACTATCACTCCTCCTTCTGTCCTGGCCTATCTATCTACTTGTTGGGATTATTCCATTTCGAGTAGAAGTGTTGGGTGAAGAGATTCGAAGGTCGGTTCCACCAGAAGACGACGGCGAAT